GGAGTTACCCCGGGAAGCCGGGCGCTCTATACAAATGGGTAACCCCGGCTAAAAATACCTGGGGTTGCCCAGTTCCAAAGGCTCTCCGGCCAACTCAAAGGATGAGTCAGCAGAAGAGGAGCTCCGCAGGAAGCGACCGTCTCCATCTCACGGGGTACCATGGCTTCTGCCAGAAACTTTTTGTGCATATTCAGGCTTCACTTGCCTGAACAAATTTGCAAGATGCTGTTCTGACAATCAACAAGGCTTCCCACAGCACAGCTTCCTCTTCAGACTAGGCAAAAACCTGTCGGTTAGATTAAAAGTGTTCCTTTCCCCTCCGTGTAAACACCAGTGCAGTTCCCTACCCATCTATCAAGTGAAAAGCCTGGAACACGCAAGAAGAGCAAAAAAACAAAAAACAAAACAAGGCTTAACAAATATTTCACAACTGCAGATATGCCACCTCGCTTGAGGAAAACCTTGCCCCATCCCAAACAAGCAAGGCAAGGGAAGAGCCAGAAGACAGTCAGCGTTCCCTCCTGCACCCACAAAGTATCACCACAGTTACACAAGACTTAGCTGGTGCGCGAGGTTGCCTTATATAGAACGTTTTTATGTGTTTAGTGTAAAATAACTAAAAATACTAAGCTAGAGGAAGATACAGCACTTGTCAGAGTAAGCACATTCAGGTTGTTTTTGTACTGTGCGGGGGGTGGAGGGGGAGGAAGAGGAAAAACTCCTCCTCATTTTTGGGTTCTTACCACCTTTCCTCTAGCCAGTGCCGGAGCAGCCCGCCTTCACCTACTTCACCTACACCACAAAATGGGTATCTGTTTTAACTCTCCTAATGCAGATTAATCAAGTCCAAAGACAGTTTAGCATACTGCTTTACTGCAAATACCACTCAACATCAGGAAAATATTTACAGCTAAGTACTCCCTTGAGCTGTGATACATACACCAAAAAGAGCATAAAAACACCTTCAGGAAGGTCATTTAATCCCTCTAAAACAGTGAAATAGCACATTTTGTGTTACTTTCTATTTTAGAGCAATCTATCATGTCACAAATCCAAATAGGACTGAAAAGCAGCAATTCGTACAGTTTTAAGTTAACAAGTATGGAACACTACAAGAACAGAATTAAGAAAATTTACATAACCTTCCCTACAGAACCTAAAATACAAGCTCAAAGAACCAGGCCTTAACCCTTGCACCTGAATTCAGTGCCCTGCAAGAGTCAGTACTGCTCGAAGTTAATCAGGTCCCCTGAGGATAACTGTGAGGCCATACTTACGTGACACTTTTTTGACCAAATGTTATCTAAGCAATCAAAACCAAGAACACAGTTCATGCAAATAAACATACCAGTAAAGCGTCCTCTAAGTATCTTGGTAAACAATCTTGGAAAGCGTCAATTTAGAGCGCATTAACTTTAGGCACATAAAAACAACAGCAGAAGTCACAAATCTTATCAACCAAACTGCCTAGTGCTAGAAGAGGACATGACAACCCCAAAGTCAGTGTTACTGTTTGGGTACTTCCAAAAGGGGAGAAAAAAAACCAAAAAAACAAATACATTACCCCAAAACTTTCCAGCTCTGTATGCTACCACAGAAGTCTAGCCACCTCACAACTGCAACAGTGACGAAAAATAATTTTTATCATCAAACATACTATACTTCAGCTTACACTTCTGTTACACAGGCAACTACCAGCTCCTTATCACTCCAAAAGAGAAGTTTCATCCCTTTCTCTCCCCACCTTTCCCCTCCCAGTCATACAGTCTGGCCCACTCCCTCAGCCCAGCTCCAGTGCTCATCAGACCTTCCCAGCTGCCTCTGCGTCACTGATCTGGCAGAAGTTTGGCCAGCTTCTGATAAGCAAGAGCATGGCTTACCCAGCACGTAAGGGGAATGGCAAAGCAGATTCTCCTGCATTCAGCCCTGTGACCTCCTAGACTTGATTACCTTATCTCATTTAAAACAAAACAAAAAAAAACCCAACCACACAACACAAAACTATCATACTAAGAATGCCCCAAGAATAATTTTCTATCTTCACAAAAGATGCCCAAAGAGTCTGTGAAGTGGGGTATCGAAACTAGGTTCACAGCTGACCCTGCCTCACTGGATGAGAAATCATAGGTAAACACATTTGTACCTAGATGTTGGGAATCCAGACATAAAAAAAAAGTTGCTATTCAATTTATTATCCCATGCTGAAGGAGACCTAGTGAAACTAGACATTAAAAAAAACTAGTTTATAAGCTCAGTTTCTGCACATAAGCTACCTGTTTTTCCTGTAAACACAAACACATTTTGGAGAAAATGCAGAGACACCAGTTTAAGGTCCAGGCTCAAGTTATGCCTTTGCTACTCTTAAAGTATCTGTAGCAATGCAGAAAAAAACAAAACAGCAGATTGCAGCTGCAAGTACATTAAACAGGGAAGCTTTGACAGCAGTGTAAAAAAGATTCCGTTTGCTGCCACTGAACTTTGCACTGAGGACAGTAACAAGAGAAAGCACCTGACTCTCATTTGACTACTGTAATCATGGAACAGCTAAAAGCCCATTTGTTCTGTAATCTTACACATACAGAAGACAGCAAGTTCGGAGGACTTGACAGCTCAAGAGATCAAGAACAGAGCCTTTCATCTTTAAGTCACCAGTTCAAACAGAGACCAGAATAGTAGCGATCAAAAGCTGCATGTATGGCTGTTCGGGGATTAGATGAAGAGATGGTTACTCACTGCCCAGCTCCCAACAGATCAGGGTGAATCACATGAGTTTTCTTCACAATTTTGCACCTGTTTTTCACAGTCTTGAATACATTATGCCTCCTGGATTCTGTACACATTAATAAGTAGCAAAGCAACTGAACTGCTGTGTACACATACTGAACTTGCATTGTAGTAAAGGACTTTACCCTCCTATTGTCAATTATGTCAGCACTACAGCATGTGTTGAATTTTTTCTTTATTAAAGAATTATAGCTCTATCTTTCAGCTTTTTTATTAGAGAGAGCTTTAAAAGCAACATTTAGCTTCCCATTCCTTTCTCACCCTCAGATACTACAATCCTGTTTGTAAACAATAGTTCTCATAACCTTGTTGTTTAAGATATTATTGCAAATATGTCAATTTTAAAAGTACATTAGTATAGGAATTTCAGAACTTTGGCATGAGAGACTATTTTGAGACACTAGTAATCATTTTTTATCAAACCTAAACAACATAAACTTCATGAGGGCCACATCTACTTAAGGACCGGGGCGGGGAGGAGAAGAAAAATTCCCTGTGCAATGAAAGAAACATTCCTTTTCATATTCTTATACATTCTTCAATATATCTGTGTGCAGTCTCTAGAAAGTCAATTAGCAATAGCTCCTTTCCAACCTGACTTTAGTTTTAAAAGTCTGCAAAAGTGCCTGGAAATTCCAGGCAGGATAGACAAGATGAAAATAAGTTCAGAGTGTATATTGACTGAAGGTTCATTGTCCTGCTACAAACACCACTATCAAAAACAATCTTCTACACAACCCCAGCAATACATAGTTGCACAGTTCTTAGTAGCATATTACTTTCTGAAAATGAAGTTGCTGATGAAAAGCCAAGGTCCTAGAAACTTCAGTATCCTTAAGAGTAACTAAGGAGGCCCTCACATACAAAGAATTCAACTTGCTATTCCAGGAGTCCAGAGAGAGCCACATACCAGACTGATGAGATTTCAGTAATCTTGAAGAACTTTGAGATTTCTCTTGCTGCTTTCAATCCAAGATGTACTGCTGCACTGCAATAATCAAATCTGGAAACAACAAAAAGGTGCACGTGGTAAATACTGGGTCTTCATCAGGGAGAACTGGTTAGTTGTCTGGACAGCAGTACAGACACACCAGACAGCTGCTAAAACTTCCAGGGGAATGTGCTTCTGTCTCAAGTCACCCAAAGCTTCGCTACCCTGAGACCTTAAAGTTCATCTACATGTTAAATTCCAACTGCTTCCTTCTATGTTGGGAATAAGCCATTACGACAATTGGGCCCCCTCCTCCCCCCCACCCCGTTCTCACTTGGCCTATAAAGCTGCACATCCATTAACAGGTCTCAATCACTCTCAGCAGTTGCCATGTTGTTTTGGGTTTGTTTTTTGTTGTTGGGGTTGGGTTTTTTTGGATTTTGGGGGTTGAAGAGTTTTGCTTTGTTTTTTAAAATCAGGACACGGAATCGTATCTTGTACAGCTGTACCACCGAGACCTCCAGTAATAGCTGGCCACATCATTCGCTTCAGTCAGAGTCCTTGAGAAAGGGCCTAGACATTTTAAAAAGGACTTCTTGACATTAGGTATCTCTTGAGTGAAAAAAAGAAGTATACTACAGTTTCCACTGAATCCAGCATGCTCCAAGTACATTTACATGTAATCTATAATACTCTTTGTAGCTTAAATCAAGTATCTTGAATGCAAATCGCAGCCCATTCAGTATTAAAAAAAAGCTGCATAGCTATTAGCTGCCAAGAAAATGGAGCCAGAAGTTTGTACACTTACAATTCTCTCAGAAATCAGACTGATTAATATAGCTGTTACAAAAGGACACACTTTCACAGAAACAGGGATTACCTTTATCTGTAACCATGGCAACTTTTCAGTAGTTTGTGTTAATGCTACTCTCCTTCCGATAAGTTGCCACTATCTCTCTCAAGCTGTTTGTATAAGGTTTTGAATGTGCCATCTGAGACCATAAAGTAACAAGAAGTTGAAACGTAAACTTACATTCTTAGATCACACTCTTAGAAGTATGTTATGTAACACGCAATGTTGTTCATTTTTGCCATAAATTCACAATTAGTCAAGAAGTAAATTTATTTTAATCTGTTATTATTTTAACATGATTCATAGTTTTGTAAGACAAAAAATATTTTAAGAAGTATCCCATGAAATACATACAGGAGATAGTTTCTTCAGTAGTGAAGAACGACTTCTCCCCTACCTGGAAAGTAGTAAATGCAAGGAATTATGCCACCAACTTTGACATTCAGTTATCATAAGGAACAAAAATCCTCCCAAAACACACCGCTATTTCGGCCTGAACAAACGTACGACAGATCAGAAAAGAGCCAGTCCCCTTGTTCCAGGTTAGGTGATAATTAATATAAAGAACAGGTGTAGGTACCTCAGCACTAGATAAACAAATTAGGCAGAATTCAAAGAACAAAGCTATAAAAGTTAAAGGAGAGACAGGAAAGAGACTAAGGAAGGAATTGACATATTTGCTTCCTCAATTATTGAGTTACCGTCAGCCACAGCTCAGAAGAGGGTTAGCACTCTGTGAAAGAAATTATTTAAGATGACATCAGACAAACAAAATCATTTGCTTGGAAGCAAAAGGAGGAAGAGAACAGTTTCTTCTTTATTTCCTCCCCCCGAAGTTCATAGGGCAGCTTACCAAGCTGCACCCTTCTCTCTTCAGCATGTGCAGTCAGTTTGACACAGTTAAGATGTGAGCAAAGATCTTTAGAAGAATGAAGGAAACTCAACACACTCTTTACTCCCCATAACTCTTATGCAATGACATCTATTACAAGAAAAGTCTGGACAAACATCCAGGGAATGGACTTCAGAACACAACGGTGCACTTTAAGTCCATCCACACAGGGAGAGAAGTAACTACCATCGGTTTTGCCGAATGCCTCCACATTACATCAGCACATTTGGGGGAAGCTTCTGTATTTCGCTGTTGCCCTTGTTATTGGCAGTAAGATAATTAGCGCTTTTTATTTTTTAAGATTCCACAGGATGTTAGAATGGGGGAAACAATAGCGGATGTTGGCACCCCTTATCTATCCCTCCAGGCTTTTTGCAGAGCTCAGGAGGTAAGCTTGGTTAAATTTCGCAGGGTTCCTCGGTGAACGCAGGAACAAAACCAAAAAGAACTTTCCGTACAGTAAAACGCAAAGGGATGACAGACTGTTTGGGCTTAAACCCCTGGATTTAATTGGAAGGGTGCCACAACACAAAATGCATCTTGCTTCCTCAATACTCCTGTCCCCAAACCAGCCAAAACCGCTGCACCCAACTTATCCGAGGAGCAGAAACGCACACCACGATAGCAGCCAACAGCCCCGGCCCGGG